GGGCGGGGCCGGGGAGCCCGAGTGGCCGAGACCCGCTGCTGCGGAGGGTCCCGGGGGCTGTCGGCAGCCGTCAGAGAGAGGAGAAAACCGCGTGACTCCAGCCCACTGACCCCGAGAGACTGAGTGGGCTGCCCTGTTCCTTGGTGGGTTCGGTTGAGGAACGGGCTGTCGTTAAGTTCGAGGTTGGAGAGGAATGGCCACGCGCAAGTACTTGGTCCAGCGTATTGTAAAATGCAGGTCAGGGCCACCATCGGGTCTTAAAAATCCACGCAAAACCGAGTGCCGTACCAACGGAAGCAGGTGAGGACGCAGTCGGGACGGTCCGGCGCGTGCCACTTGGTGTAGAAACGAAGGTGCCCCCGTCCCCTGCCCCCCCCAGCCTGCCGTCACAGTGACTGTCCCCCGGCCTGCCGTCACAGTGACTGTCCCCCCGACCTACCGTCACAGTGACTGTCCCCCTGGCCTGCCATCCGAATGCTGAAGCACCTGTCTACTTGGGGAGGACTCACTGGGTGTTGGACAGAGGCGCGGTTGAGGATCCAGGCCTGAAATGATTCAGTCGCTGTGGTTGAAGGGTGAAGCCAAAGGGTGTCACACCGTCTCCTAGAAAACGTTCATGGTTGGGACCAGCAGTTAGCGTAATGGCTATGTCACTGGACTCCCATGTAGTCGACCGCGGTTCAAGTTCCAGACCCAGTGGCTTGAACTAACGCCGGGCGCATGTACGCGCATGCCCAAGATCCCGAGAGGAGAATGGAGGAGAAGGGATTGCAACGTGGCCATCCCCCCTGGGGGGTGATTTCTCACTTTCTGTATCTCCGTCTCTCTCTGTCTTTCCTCGAAGTCTCCTGGGGGGAGGTGAGAAAGCATCTCCAGGGGCTGCCGTGCTGCAGTCCCTTCTCCATTCTCTTTTCGGAATTGTGGGTGCACATACATGTCGCCTGGTCTGGGACTCAAACTGCACAGTCGGTCGTGTGGGATCCAGCCACCTTACCCTCCGTGCCACCTGCTGGCTCAGTGTCCGTGTTTTTCTTTTTCTTTTTTTTTTAATTATGTAGATATTTTTATTTTTTTCTTCCTTTTATTTATATTTTTCATTTCATTTTCTTCCATACATTCAATCACATTATTATTTGTCTTACAAAATGGATATTTCAGCAGGTGAACATTTCTCCCTAGTACTGTTGATAAAACTACGAAATATCTTCAACAGATGATAAATACCACACCTCTTTGTGCCATTAATGCTTTGCCTCCCTGTCCCTCCCCCAAATGTCCTTCCTCAGACCCTCCTCTTTCACACACACTATATCTGGTATTTACATCTATATACTGCGTTTCTATGACCTTTAGACAATTAGTTTCAATCATAGAGTGCAGATTCTCGGTATATATTAAGTGGGAACATACAGTGCCTCTCCTTCATAGCATGGCTTGCTTCACGCAGCAGTAAGTCTTCCATATTCATCCACTTCCTTTCAAAAGCCAGGGTTTTGTTGTTGTTTTTTTTTTGGATGAATAGTATTCCATTGAGTATAC